ACCTTTTCCTTCCTGTCACACCTTTTCCTTCCTCTCACACCTTTTCCTTCCTCTCACACCTTCTCCTTCCTGTCACACCTTCTCCTTCCTGTCACACCTTCTCCTTCCTGTCACACCTTCTCCTTCCTGTCACACCTTTTTCTTCCTGTCACACCTTCTCCTTCCTGTCAAACCTTCTCCTTCCTGTCACACCTTTTCCTTCCTGTCGCACCTTCTCCTTCCTGTCGCTCCTTTTCCTTCCTGCCACACCTTTTCCTTCCTGCCACACTGTCTCCTTCCTGTCACACCTTCTCCTTCCTGTCACACCTTCTCCTTCCTGCCACACCTCCTCCTTCCTGTCAAACCTTCTTCTTCTTCTTGTGGGGTTTTATGGCGGTTGGCAAACTTGTGAGATGTGCATTACCACCACCTACTGATATGGAGTAAAGCAAGGAAACAGGAAACGATTCACCCCAGGAAACAAAAAAACAAAAAACCTGTGTAACTTAACCCAACATAATAAATAATCACATTTGCCCTAATAATTTTAATTTATCTTTAAGTAATTGTCAATCTGCCAGTTTCTGATGGTCCTATCGGTTTTCCCATCATGCTTTTAACCATTTCACAGTTTAAACTTTCACTTCCAGATATTTTTTTGCGGCTTTCACTATTATTTTGATTTTTTTCATTTTTTCTTGTTTTCTGTGAACTACAATTGATCACTTCGACCATGAATAGAACAAAATCTTTCTTTTTAACAATTAGTGAATTTTCTTTAATTTTGGGGACATTTGCCATGTGTTGAACTGTTGGTTTGGTTTTTTCTAACTGAGATGGGATCCTTTTTGCAGCTTCAGCGTAGGTTATTCCGAGCTCAAATTTAAATTTTTTAATTTCCTCAGACCTTTTGCTCACTTCACAGCCACGATAAGCAGCAGTATGTTCTACGCCACAGTTACAGCATTTGATTTGAGTTTCTTTTCCACATTTTCCGTATTCATGTTCTCCTGCACACCTTCCACATCGCTGTTTCCCTTTACAAACTGCTGCTATGTGTCCGGATTTTTGGCATTTGTAGCATCTCAAAGGTGGAGGATTGTAGATTTTAACATTATAGCTGATGTAACCAATGAATACTTTGCTGGGTAATTGCTCTTCCTCGAATTTAATTAACACGGATAAACTGTCAGATCTTTCTTCATTTCTTGTTGTTTTTAACTGTTTTACTTATTTTACTTTTGCACCACTGATGTTTTCTAGAATTTCTTTTTTCAGACACTCTTAGAGGAACTCCTCCAATGACTCCCCTGCTGATCTTTTTGTTCTCCACTAAGCTGCCCTGAACTCTTATCCAGTCAATTTTGTTGATCTGAATGGCTTTACCTTGCTGGGCGCTGTCTCTGCAGTTAATTAGCAGGTCTCTACTGTACAGGATTCTGGCACCTCTGACTTCTACTAGTTTATCTATGGTTTTGTTAAGTGAACCGGATTCCAATTTGCAAAAGAGTCTGCCTGATTAACGACTTTGAATATGACTTTGTAATCATTTTGTTTTGCTCTGGAAAGTATGGATTGATCATCACTTGAATGTTCTGAACTGGACTCCCACTCAACCGATCTCTGTTTTTTTTAGCTTTTTCTCATTTTTTGAGGCTACCCTCTTCCAATCTTCTTCATTATCAATATTTCCCTCTTCCATCCCACAAGAATCGCTTCCTGTTTCCTCACTACTCATGGCCCTGTACATTTCTCCACAAGCGACTTCGAAACACATGCCATGCACCTAACGACCATACGCCACTGCTGTGACTCGTCTCCGTTGCTGTAGCTCTCTCTCTCTCTCTCTCTCAACCACGTGCTCCCAAGCCTTAGCCACCCACTGCTCTCTTCTGGCCTGTCACACCTTCTCCTTCCTGTCACCCCTTTTCCTTCCTGTTACACCTTCTCCTTAATTATCATTAATGATGTAAAGTTTATTATACTTTAATATTCACCTCCCTTCTTCTGAAACTATATCTTCTATTTCCTTTAATATTAAAAACATGTTGGACTTTAATTGCTGTGTTTTGTAGAATTATTGTTCTTTTGTTATTTCTAAATGCTTTAGTGTCCTTCCTGGTTTAACGGGTTTATAAATTAAGCGGAAAAGCTGATATCAGAGTGTAAGTTAATAATTAGATGAAATGTGTGACATGTTTGTTTTAATCCCTCAGAAGCTGCTTCGGTCTCTGGCAGCGTGGATGATGGCGTAGAAGATGATTTGCTCTGAGACCAATCCCATCCATGGAGGAAATCCTTCTGAAGAAATGCACAACCTTCCTACCTGTTGACAGAACGATGACATCACTGTTCCCGTGTTCCTGTTTTCTAACTATGCAGTCATTTGCTTTGGTTCTGGTGGAATGAAGAGAAAGATGCATGTTTACCTTGGAAGATCGTTCTTTGATTTGATGTTACATTGACTTATAAATAAATCTTTTTCTTTGAAGAGGTTTTATCTTCTTTATTTTTACTGCACACTTCAAAAGTAAACTCAATTATAACCATGATGCAATAAAACAGTCCTTCCTTCATTGGTTCATTCATTCGTTCCTTCACTCTGTTTTGTTTCTGCATCAGCAGCTGACCAATCACAGCAAAGCAGGTTACGTTCGCGCATGCGCATTTGCGTCTGAATAATTTGTTGATGTCCTGTTTACGAGGATTGATTTAGTTCTTGCTTTTCCACTCAGTCTGATCCACAGGTTGAATTCCAGTAGGAAGCCGAGCGGAGCTCCAGGTTTCCTGCATGAGGGGCTGATGGAAGACGCCCGGGATCTGGTGAGGAGGCTGGGAGACATTTCAGGCCTGAGCTCGCGCTCCTCCTTTGTTGTTAGCCTTCAGGCTAAGCTAATGCTAGCGATAGAGCATCTGTCTGAAAAGCGCCTAAAAAGGTCCAGCGAGGAAAATCAAGCTGACAGAAGTTCACTTTAATTTCTGGGTTTTATTAAAATGCAACAGAAATCTGCGCTTTAAAGGACAAAACTGCTCAGGAAAAGGAATAATGTTGCTAATGGAGCTAATCGGCTAGCTAGCGCTTCACGGTAAACTAGCATCCAGGCTGCTTTAAAGAATAATGTAATGTTTGTTTTTATTGCACTTATTCTTTCCTATTTGATTAAACACGATTAGATACCAGAACATCTTTATCTCTGAGGTTTTGACATCCTGAACTAAAGTGATGAGGAAGTTAGCATCTCATGTACTTTCATTTTCATCTTGACAAGTGAAAAGCAGACTGAGTTCAATATTGCAATAAAATAAAAAATCTACGATCAGATCGATTATTTGCTAAAATGTAAGGCTGTTAAATATTTGGAGGATCTGAAAGTTTTGTCTTCTTTCTGATCCATTTAGAGGCTCAGTCCAGTTAATGAAAACAAACACACACACACACACATATATATATATATATATATATATATATATATATATATATACACATATATATATATATATATATACATACATCAGTTCAGTTCAAATTCAGTTTATTTCAATAGAGCCAATTCACATCATGTCATCTCACTTTCCAGTTCACCAGATCATCCAGTCAGATTGATTCAAAGTTTTCTATCTAAG